GGCGCGGGCGCCTGAGCCTTCGAGGTGGAGGCCGCCGGGCGGCGGGGCCGGGCCGGACCGGGAGGGACTCCGGGGTCCGGCGCTGCTCGTCGGGGCTCCTGTTGTAAATAGTGCGCCCGGTGATCGGTTGAAAAGTTAACTGTCTCACGGAGTGCAGTAATTGAGATGTGAAGTATTGTTGAGGATCACCACGGATTGAATTTGCCTAGCAAAAGTTATCTTTCACTGAAGCAGAGCGAATTTTTTACTCCCAAAAATTTTGAACGGGAATGTAGGTCGGAATTTGTAGCAAGTGAATTAGGCACTTCGGGATAGATGTGTATCTTCAGTACCCTTATTTTAAATCCTGTTGCTGCATTGGGTGGGGCTCAAGAATCGCGTGATACAGCAGTTGTTTTGTTTTGGCAGTTGTACTGAAGAAAAAAGGACATCTTGGTGACAGTACCTCAAGCAGGTGAGTCCTGACGTCTCCAAGAATCTCTAGAACGGGGAGGGACTACCAGGAAGTTTTCTGCGGACCAATAAATAAATACTAGAGTGGGAGAATGGTAGTCGAAAGATGTTTTGGTTGGCCGGGGTTCAAATCAATCTGTTTGATGAGCTTTCTGATGTGGTTTTTTTTAGATGAAATTCTGAAATTAGGACATACTTGGGGATGCGTTTACCCATTCATGTGGCTTTTTTTTTTTTTTTTTTCCTTTTCCTTTTTCTTTTTGAGACCGTCTCGCTATATAGTTTAGGTTGGCTTTGAACTCATTATGTAGCCCAGGCTGTCCTCGAGCTCTTGGAGATCCTCCTGCCTCAGTGTCTGGAGTGCTGGGACTTACAAGGGTGCTTCACTACATTTCTAAACTTTTAAGCATTTAGTATTTTTAACATGAAACGCTATGAATAGTTTCACAGTTCTACTTCATGTAAAAAAATTTGTCTTGCAGAAATCTTTATCAGTAAGAATATTTAGGAGTGAAGCAAAGTTTTAAATGAGGAAACTGTAAAACAGTATACTACTGCTGAACGTCCCAGATGGTAATCATCCATAATTGCAGTACCCAGCTTTAAACTGCTATCATCTGATCCAACTGTGTAGTAAACAACAGTATACAGAGGGCCTTTTTTGTATGGTTTTGTTTTTGAAAATTTAATTATACTTATTTTGTTACCCACTTTTCCATTCCAGAAACCACTTACAATGTTACATAGAATAGTTGTACCATAATTTATAAGATCTATTTTCATTTTTGTATAATGACAATATTAGGCCAGTGAATATCCTTTAGACATACTTTGCAAAGTACTGTGCCTAAGAACTAGTGTCAGTGGCTCTTACAGTGTGCCAGGCATCTAGCTCTTTCTTCACATACTCCTTTTGGAATAAATGCCCAGAAGTGCAGAAGTGGGAGTGCAAGACTAAAATGATTATACTTTTTGGAGGTTGAATGTATATACAATTGTCCATCAGAAAGCGTTTCCTTTCACTGTACTGTAGTTGTTGTTGTGCACCCCCTCTACCCAATTTTTTTTTCCCATTTTAAGATACGGTCTTAACTAAGTTGCTATGTTGCCCGGGCTGGATTTAAGCTTTGTGATCACCCAGCCTTTGACTTCCAGAGCATGTGTCACCATGCCCCGCTGTCTTTTCCTTTTGTAACTTGTCTTGTTTTTTGGTTTTAATTTTTCTCTAGCTTTATTTTTCAACTTTCCAGAATATCTGTTTATTCAAGAAAAACTAGCACTGTCTTTCTTTTTTCTTTTTTTAAGAGACGATGTTTCACTGTGTTAGCCCGGCTGACCCCGACCTTGTGTGCTCAGTGCTCTTCCCTCAGCTTCCCAAACAGTTGGGAACGCTGGTGCTATGCCACTGCGTGGTCAAGAGTGCCATGATCTTAAGCTTTTTTGTCTTTTTGAGACAGGGTCTCAACTGCAGATCGGGCTGGCCTTGAACTCACTTTGTAGCCCATGCTGACCTCAGCCTCTCAACAGTTTTCCTACCTCAGCCTCCCGAGTGCTGTGATTACAGGTGTGCACCACCATGCCCAGCGAAATAGTTGTACTTGTACAGTGAAATATTTGGCTACACACAGAATGATAATGAGAGGACCCTAAAAATTATTTTTTGTAGTGGTATAGTTGAATGTAACTACTTTGTGTTCCCCTGGAGCCTTCCCTAAAATTTCCTGCCCTTATGTGGGTTCCCTCAGTATTTGTACAGCCTGCCGGGTCCCTTTACTTTCCTCTTTGCCGCCTTTGCAGTTTTTTGACTTCCCGTTTGAGACTATTCCCAGAAGGCAGCAACTGTTTTATTCAGTGTTAAGTTCCTCCGCTTCAGGTGCTCTGTAAATACTCATGAACCTGTGTGGAAGTTTGTATACAAAATTTTGTATAAGAAATAATAAGCCTCCTTACATTTTTAAGAATGCTGTGATACCGTAATAGAAGCCCACTGCCTAGACTATCTTTTCATAGGGAACAACAAAGTTACTTTCCCAAGTAGATTAGGTTTTTTTATTTTTTTTTTTCTTGGTACCAGGAATTGAACTCACAACCTCATGCTTGCCTGGCAGGCGCTGTGCCATTGAGCTGTATCTCTGGCTCGTATATAAATGAGTATTTATATAATACTCGTATATAAATGAGTAGTAAGTGAACAGTTACAGCACCATATCATAGATGTAAAGGAGAGAAATAAGGGTTGAATGTTACCGTTGTACCTATTTTTGTGAGCCTAACTAATAAAGTAACATTTCTTAGAAAATGAAGGTGGTCAAATTTTTAAAGTTTCTATAACCTGAAAGTATTTTGAAAGAAAATTTTGTTCAGGCTCAGATGAGGCACTGTGTATAATTATGTGTGGCATAAGATCTGTGTGGCACTTCTAGCAAAATCTCAAAATCGGGACATCTTTATGGATTTGATTGCCCATTCCATTGGTTCCCATTTCTGATTTTTTTTGTTTTGTTTTTGTTTTCTTGAGGTGAGATCTTACTGTGTTCCTCAGGCTGGCCTTGAGCGCCTGGGCCAAGCAGTTCTACTTCACTTCCTGCGGGTGCACCAGTGCCCCTGACTTCCATTTCTGAATTTTTTAGTGCTTAAGGTTTTTATCATGTACCATGGTAAACTTTTTCTTTTTTTTTTTTTTTTTTCATTTTGTAAAAGTGACATAAAGGGATTCTACCAGTAAAAGGGTTTAGAAGCAAAAAGAAAAAAATTCGTTAAAATAGTATGTGTTCTTAGTGTCTAAGCAGTAAGTCTCAAAAGTGAAACAAGTCTTTGTCTTTCAGAATAAGACTGGTTTTATGTGAAAATGAGGCATAGTGTTCCAGTTTTAAAGATGAGGATATGTTTTCTTTGTTAAAAATTTCTGGTATGTAATTTTATTTGACCTTAAGTGATCATTATTGGCTATGTTACACCGTGTGTAAGTGTAACTTCTGAAAAATGATAGAATCTATTCAACTGTATCATTACTTCTAGAAATATCAGTGTATGTTGTGAAGTGGAACTGATTGTGTTGAATGTAGCTCCTTTCCTAAGCATTATAAGTTACACAATTCACTTGTACTCAAAGCATAATTTGTAATCTATATGGCCTTTTGTCCTATTAAATTTCACTGCTGATTTTACAGCTACATCGAGTCATTGTGGTTTTCTTCTGCATATAATTCAAATAGTTATTTCAAAAGATTTAAGCATTTTGGATAACTTTGAAGATTTAAATAAACATTGCTTCAAGAAAGCAGTGCGTGTGGACTGGGAATATAACTCAGTGGTAAGAGCACATGCTTAGCATCCACAAGGTCCTACATTGAATTCCTACCACCATTAAAAGAATAAAAATTGCAGAAAAATATTTACTAAGTAGTTATTAAAGGATTTTAAGGATAATGATGTGTAAACTAAATCTAGAAAAGGCATTCTAATTGGATGGAAGATTATAAACAAGTGTGTGATTATATAAGGAAAACTGTTTCAGATAGTAAACAAATTAGAAAGGGAGGACAGGGGCTGGGGATTTAGCTCAGCGGCAAAGCGCCTGCCTGGCAAGCGCAAGGTCATGAGTTCGGTTCCGGTTCGGGGGGAAAACCCAAAAAAAAAAAGGGAGGACAGGCTAAAGATTAGGTTGGGAATATTTTGGGGGGCTTGTCGCATCAGTACTCTTAGGATTCACTGCACATCAAAATCCTGTGGGCTGCAGGGTGTGGTGGCTCATGCCTATAATCCCAGCACTCGGGAGGCTGAGGCAGGAGGATCGTTGCGAGTTCGAGATCAGCCTGGGCTACAAAGTGAGCTCAAGACCAGCCTGAACTGCATAGTGAGACCCTGTCTCAAAAGACACATGCACACAAAAAAAATCCTGTGGGCTACAAGGTTACTAGAGAGCTTTGAAAACGGGTGTGAACAAAAATTGGAGATAGTTTTTATTTTCAGACTTTATAAACCATAATGAAACTAAATTTAAAAAAGAACATCACTTACAATTTTTTTTTTTAGGGGTGCCCCAGGAATCGAAATCCAGACCCCATGCTTGCCAGGCAGACACTGCACCACTTAGCTATACCCCAGCCCTTTTTCGTCCCGCCATCTTTTTGAGGGGGTTTCACTATGCAGTTCAGGCTGGTGTTCAGATTTGCCTCAGATTTGCATCAGTCCTCCTGCCTCAGCCTCCCTAGTGCTCGGATTACAGGTATGCGCCACCATGCCCAGCTATCATATTTGCTGTCACATTATGCTAACACATTTTAAAAATTTCCTTGTGTACAAGCATATTCTTTTTTTTTTTTTAGTCATTAAGTGGGTTTGTTTTTTATTTTTTATTTTTTTCTGGTACTGGGAATCGAACTCACGACCTCGCACCAGGCGCTGTGCCATTGAGCTAAATCCCCAGCCCAAGTGGGTTTGTTTTTCTTTATTTTTAACATTGTTACTAGTGTTCAGTGAGAGTGGGAAGTCTCCATAATAATTTTAATAGTGGAAAATAGTGCATTTTTTTGTTTTATCTTTTAAGACGGGATCTCACTATGTAGTTCAGGCAAGCCTTGAACTCAGAATGTCATCCAGGCTGGCCTTGAACTCAGCAACCCTCCTGCCTAAGTCTCCCAAATGCTAAGATTACAGATACAGGCGACTATACCTAGCCTAATAGTCCATCTTTAACTTAATTTTTCTATTGCTTGACCATGTAGGTGTCTAGCTCATCAATATTATGCTATAATTATCTGTTTCTGTGCAGTAGCTTCTGCTTTGGAATGTTCTTGTATGATTGCTTTAAAGTTGGATGAACATTTTTATGATTCTTGAAACGTGGCCATGTGTTTTCTCAGTTTATAATTTAGATTATTACCTTTCTTTTGAGTTTCACTAAGCTACCAGTATTAGGTGGTATATATTATCAGTTCTGCTAATTTAATAGTGCAAAAAGTAGGTTCAAAATAGCTTCTGTGAAGTCAGGTGGGACCT